GTGAGCCAGTCACCAAAATCTGTAAAAAATTTTATATTAATTAAAGAATTTATTTAAAGAGGCAACCAACCGACAAATCAATTTTTTACCTTTGACATCTGGAGGTTTTTTAGGATCTCGGCCATGATGTACAGCATGATTAGCAGATAGTTGAGTAGCAAACGGAGTTTGTGGTATCATATTTGCAGGTGTCATGGGTAAATTACCAGGAGTAAACGGTCTTGGGGTAGGTGGTATAAGACTACCGGTATTTGCGGGTGTGTATACAGGATAATTAGGCGTATCAGCTGCTGGTGTAGCTACGGCCGAATATCCTGGTGTATTAGTGATTCCGGAATATCCGGGGGTTTCGGCAGCAACGGAGGAAATATTTAATGTCGCATTTGTAGTAGTAGTGGCCGAATTACTGTTACTACCTCCAAATATGTTACTTATATTACTAACGCTATTATTACCACTATTACCACCTACTATACCGGAAGAATGAGGTGTGTGACTTCCTGAATCCCATGCAGGAGTTTTACTGCCGTCTGACATTAGTCCATATGCAGGAGTTTTGCTACCGAGATCCCATGCTGGCGTTTTTGATCCAAGTGAGGTATGGTTATTATTACTATGGTTTGCGCTACTATTACGTAATGCCGGAGTTTTACTGCCACTAAGTAATCCGCTGCTATGTAATGCGGGTGTTTTGCTCCCATCCATACTCAATCCACTATTAGCACCATCCAATAAATGTGGATTTGGTGTCATAGCAGATCCCAACGAATATCCCCAACTCTTTTGTTGTTTACTTAATCCTGTTGTCCAACTTGGTTCGGGGTATGAGCCTAACCCGGGACTAATGTCCATGGAACCTCTACTTGATTCACGATTTCTTGGTATAACTGGATCTAACGCTTCTCCTTTCTCACTATAAACATAAGTCATAAAAAGTTACAGAACTTGTTGAATACAAAATTAATTCAACTGTGTATAAGTACTTACTTGACGTGAAATAGTTGTTCGAGTTCAACTTTTACAGTCGTTAATTTGGCATCAAATTCGACATCTGCCATATTACCATATACCCCTTTAACCGTACCCTGATATCCTTTAAGAGCACCTTGTGATGCCTGTACTCTCTTATTTAATAAAGGATGTCGGAATATCGATCGACCACGTCCTCTACCTCGACCTTCTCCTCTTCCACCACGACCCCCCCCTCCTCTATTGTTTTGATTGTCACGAAATCTCTGTCTAGGAAAGATAATTGGTTGTTCATTATCTTTGGAGGACTAAAAATATCGAAATGTTAACTTGAGCCCTTTTTTTTTCAGAACACTCTTAACAAAAAAAATTATATATATATATATATATATTACCTTGCTTGATTCATATTTTAATTTTAAATCTTTAGTTTTGAAACATGAAAATCCCAAGTTTGTATCATCATCGTAAGTTCTGACAAATACATAGGCCTCATATATACGAAAAACTTCATATAGCTATTTAATATATATAGATACATTTGAATTTTTTGAATTTCACTTGTACGATAATTAATAACATACATATATTATAAACATTCTCCCACCTGCTTATTAATACCTTCCATTTTGCTTGTAACAACTTGATCACCTTTTTTAAAGGTTTGACTTTTTATGTCATGCAAAGATCTCGTTATACCTGACGCCGTAACACTTTTGACTAAATTATTTTCGGAATTCAACACGTCATATTCATAATTTTTTTGAGCTTTTCTAATATCAATGATAATTCCAACCGAAGAATCTTTTAATTGGACTAAATCAAAATATCTAAATCCTCCAAAGTCATTTACGATAGAATTTTGAACTCCTTTTTTTAAATCTTTGGCAAAGACCGAAATCTATTATAATTTCGATAAGTAAAATATTTGATACTTTATTTAAAAGAGAAAGGAATCGAATAAAATAAAATACCTGTTTGTTGGTATGATCTAAATACATGGTCATAACATGTCTATCACAATTAAAAACAAAACCACTTTGGCCTTGATATGGACCGTTCGTGATTTGTACATAATCATGAACATTAATATTTTTAACGCATTCTTCTGAATTCACTTTAAAAATTCTACCACCATTCTCTTTATCGGTGACGGTTAAAACACCATCTTTAACCGATATTACAGTACCGACAGAACCTTTGAGAGATCCTTGAAGTACTTTAATTTCATCTTGTATTTCATAAACAGTAATCTTACTAGCCACATTTGAAAGTTCCATCATGATTGACTCTGAAAAAAAAATAGATATATATATATAAATAAACAACATAAATTCACTTTAATTAATACTAGTTAACCAATTATCGTTATATAATCACCATTGTCAAATTTTGCCTTTAAAAAATCTTCAACGTCTTGCAACAACAGATCCATATTTGAATAAATCAGATCTTTAATCTTATATTTGACTTTCATATAACCTCTATTATATGTTTTTGTATAAGTATCTGTATCTTTACGTTTACGCTTAAGTGAAGCTCCATCTTGATCTACAAGTATGCGTGGAATAATCTCAACCTCTATTACTTCATCAGTACTATACGAAGTAACCTATAAAAGGGTATATATCTCAGTATTTATAATAATAATAAGATTAAAATCACTTCTATGCAATACCCTAGCAAGATCCCCAAAATATTCATCACGTTTGTTTGTTCTAACAAATGAACCAATTTGAATATTTAATCTTGGTTTCTTTGGAGCCATTAAATCCTGTTTTTCTTTTGGGCTAAGTCTCTTTATGTTTTTCTTTGAAGAATATAAATACTTATTACACCTCATAGCCGCCTATACAATGTGGGAAAAAAAATATTAGTTTTGATAAATATTAGTGATGTAAATTGAGTATATAGGTAATATCATATTACTCACATTTTGAACGTCTTGTTCCTTATCAGCTTCTATGTACACGAAGTCTTCGATACCTTCAATAGCAATAACTCTTTTAATTTTCAAAGGATCGGATCGGAGTTTCTTCAAATTCTCTAATCTATCAATTGCATGAAATACATGTCCTTTCTAAAAAAAAAAAATAATTTTGGTATTAATTGAATTTGTTAATGATAAACCTGTTTGAAAAATAATACTTACTCTACATTTTACAGCAAACAATTTATCAACGGTAGCGATTTCAGGTTTAGTTAAATCCTCTTCATCATCACTTAGCCTACTAGCAGTTCTACGATAACGTTCATTGAATGCTTGAGCTACCTTTTCAGCATCGAAATTATCCTCCTCAAATACTGATCTTTCAATTTCAGCGACAGCACGTCTATTATCCCGATGATAAGTACTCAATTCGGTCTCAATTTCTCTATTATCGATGAAATCTAAATATTAAAAAATTGATTTTACATTCAATAAATATATTAATGAAATTCAAATTTATTATAGATGTATTTACATTCTTTATCGTAAATCGCATCTTCATCTTCATCTTCATCTTCTTCCTCATCGTCTACGTCGGCTTCATTTAAAATGAATTTACTTGGATCATTCTTATTACCCTTGTGACGTTTTTTATCTCGCTGTTTATAATGAAAAGACGTATTAGTAACTTTTTTATTTTCAAATTATTAGATCGATCTAGATTAGTACTTACCCTTTTTCCTCCATAATCATCATCTTCTTCGTCTTCGATTTCTTCTGAATCTTGCTCATAATCATTATATTCGTCATAATTTGTTTCGTCATTTTGTTGTTCTTGACCGGTATCTTCTTCAACGCTCCAACCTCCATCAGTTTCATCAAGTCGACTTTCTTCGTCGTCTGAAAAGTTTTGTTTATTTTTTAACATGTTCAATCAATTCAATTAATAGCAATCAATTTTTTTGACAAAGGTTAGGGCTTAGAATTTGTTCTATTTATAAACAAATTTTGTATCAATGTATGCAATTCTATGTGTGTTACATAAACAATTGGTAATACAGTAAAATTTTATTGGTGAACCAATCGGTTGGGTCTTTTTTAATACTCCTTTCAAACGTAAAGATTTTCAATATATAGATTTTTTTTTTTAATTTTTTGAATCATGGAGTTTTCAGGGAATGTATTGAGTGCACTCCCAAACATCATCTCCATTATTACTTCGGAAGATTTCATTATTATTCGTGGGAAGACGAGGTATGTAATAGGTATAAAAAATAATACTAATAATAATAAACTAATAATGTTACATTAATGAAAGTAAACAGGAAAGTCTTTGCATGATTATTGACTCGATTGGGGAAGCTTCTTCAAAGGTAATGATTACCAATAATAATAATTAATAATAATAATAACAATAATATATAATAATAATAATAAAAAAAGATTTTTTAATATAAACTCAGGCACAATGTTTGAAAAGTATTATAACGACTATGGCAAAATTCCAAACATCGTCACATAAATTATACTTAATGAAAGATCAAGAGAATAAGGCAATAGTTGGAATGCTTAAAGTCGGAACAAAAAAATTATTTATTGTGGTACGAATTTACTTGACCTAAAACTACCGATTGATATGTTAATAAATAACCTAAAACTTTGTCACTTACAAAGGATAGGAAAGGAAAGCAACATGAAATAGAACCATTGTGTGTGTTAGATTTTTACGTACATGAAAGTTGTCAAAGATCAGGTTATGGCAAACAAATGTTTGAATATATGTTAAAAAATGAGCAAATCATTAATCCTTGTAAATTAGCATTTGATAGACCTTCAGATAAATTTAGATCTTTCTTAAAGAAACATTATAATTTAGAAAATTTTGTTCAACAGCCTAATAATTTTGTTGTGTTTGACGAATATGGTTTGCCAGGTATTTGCATGATATCTTTTACTCTTTTTTGTTCAAAGACGAATGAAGATTAAAGTTTGATTGAATTTATCATATAGATATTCCGACAAACTTACATTTACTTAATAAAACTCTAACTCGTAGACATTCTTCAGAAATTAATTTATTATCGAATGAAAAAACTCCACCATCAGGAACTTATCATAGACATACCAGATCTCTTACACCAAATCATCATTATTACACTTCGTCACTTTTCAATTCTTCTTCACCAGCTCTCTCCTCCTCTTCCTCTTCCCCTCCTTCTTCTCCAAACCTATTAGAAAATAAATTTACTTCTGTATCATCAATTAATCATTCTGCGCCTCCTAAAGAAATTTATGTTCAAAGAAAAAGAGAACTAATTAGTCAACAAGAACATGGCAAACAATCTTTATATGGTAAAAATCCTATTTCTTGGGAATGACCTTTAATGAGTAAATTTGATGAATTATTCTTTTTATAGTTGTTTCACCGATGTTTAATAGACTATAGAATTTAAAAATAAAAATTAAATATGTATAACAGAGATGCGCAGCAAAATACAAAGTGTTAATGTTGACCGAAATCTGGGCCAAATCAGGTTACCCTTGACATTGATAATATTCTACAATAAGTTACAATAATTACAATAGGGAATTCGCCGAAAGAAGTAGGGCTAAGTGTGTATAAATATCAGATGAAAGTCAGACGATCAAAGATATAAAATAAGTCCTTTCCATCATTTTTTATCAAAAAAAATAAAATATAATAAAATGGATACCAAGTCTAATCGGGAAGAACAAATAAATCAAGACGCACCACCTCCCCCATATACACCACCACCCGAGCAAGCTGGTGGTAGTTCAAATACCAACACTTCTGTTGTTACAAGCGAAGGAGTTGCTACTGAACAAACTCGTTTAAATTCAAAACCAACACAGTCATATACTGTTACAAAGACCTATTCGCCTACTCCCAATTTAACTTATAGCCCTCCTACAAACAGAGGAGTTTATCAACCTCCTGAGACGGTCGTACTTACAGCGGCCGTACCATTAGAGGCTTTACGCACTGAACCAGTGGTGACGACCTGCCCTCATTGTCGACAGGTAGTTTTGAGTAGCGTTCGTTTTGAAATTGGTGGCTGCACTTGGTTGACAAGTTTTGCTTTATTTTTCCTTGGTTTTGGTGGTGGTTGTTGTTTAATTCCCTTCTGTGTAAGTGTATTTTTATGTATACGTATTTTATTTGTATTAGGTTTAAAATGTATGATTAATCGTTCGTTCTTTTTTTTTCTTTTACCTCTTTATAATAGATAACTGATATGAAAGATAGTTATCATTCATGTCCAAATTGTGGTAAAATTATGGCAAAATATTCAAGGTTGGATGGTAAAGTATTTAGATATAGAGGATAATTTCTATATTAATCGCGTCATTGAAAATATTGCTGAATACAAGTTGAGATTTTTTGAATTGAATGAAAATGCAGGAATGAAAGAACCGTTTTTATATTTCGAGAAACTAATATTTCAAATTATCATTTATAATAAATTATATCTACTATTTTCGTATTATTCAAGTATAAACGATGTTTCAACTTAATTTTTTTTAAAATATATTTAATAATAATAAATTTCACCAATATTGTAATAATACTTAAAATGCAATCATTTAATTATTTAACATACTTTACGTTCCAATCATGCCAAACTTCTTCAACAGTTTTAGCTTTTGTTTCTGGTAAAATACGAATAGCAACAATATAGGCTATAATTAAATAGATTGCAAATATATAAAAAACATTACCTCCTAATATTACTCGACCTTCCAAGAATAATGAAGCGACTAAAAAATTACTTGTCCAATTTACTGACAAACCTAGACTAGACGCTGTCGCTACAGCACGAGTATCAACTATTTCTGGTATGATTAAAAATGGTATAGGTCCTAATCCGATAGCGTATGTAGCTACGAATCCAATTATTGATATTGAAGAAAGTAATGATATTTCATGCGTAATACCAAGCGCCAATAAAATCGAACATAAACTCATCAACGAAATTGAGTAAAGTAACAATGTCCTTCTTCCTGCTTTATCCATCAAATATGCTGATATGATGGTCATGATCGTATTCACAATACTAATATATACCGTAATTAAATCACTTGATGTTGGTAATATTGTTGATAATATCGTTGTAGAATAAAATATTACCGCATTGATACCTGAAAATTGTTGTGTAAATTGTATGAATAATAATACCATCAATGCTGGTCTATAATGTAAACTAGTAATAAATTTCCATATACTAAAATCATCTACGCCGATATTTCTTGCATGAAATACTACAGATGGCGATTCTACTATATCAGTTTCTGGAACATTTTGTGATAACAATTCTGAATGTTGTTGTGAATTTGACGTGACTTCTTGTTGTTGTTGACCGATTAATCCTTCTAATCCTTCTTCGGATGCTACCTGTCTCCATCCCCCTAATTCTTCTTCTACATCAATTTTACCTCTTAATCGTTGTAAAGCTCTTTTTGCTGATTGATATCCTCCCGGTGTTGTTACAAGGTATTTTGGTGATTCTACCGCAAATCCAAGAAAAACCATTTGTATAATTGATAAAGCTGACGCAAACAATATAATAATTCTCCATCCCGGTATATATGAAAGATACAACCCTTGAACTTGTGAAAATAAGATACCAGTTACAATTCCAAGTTGATTCATTACGCCTTTGATTCATGAAAAAATTAAAAAAGTTTTTTTTTTATAAAAAAAGTCTTTGTTTTTTAAAAGAAAAGTGAAATATTACCAAAGGTACCGCGATATTCTGCAGGTGAGATTTCAGCAAGATACATTGGAACCACTACACTAACCTATAATTATTGAAAGTTAATTGTCAAATTAATTAAATAACATGACATGACCCAATAGTTTCGCTACTTACTACGCCACATCCAATACCGGCGATTACTCTACCAATAACTAATGTGGCAAAAGAACTAGAGAATCCCATCGTGGTAGGTCCAAGGAGTAAAAAAATTATATTGAACATCAACGTCCATCTTCTTCCTTTATTATCAGCGACGCGTGGAGAAATTAATGATCCTACTAATCCACCCAAGTTAAAAATTGATGTTACCAGACTAAACTCTCCTTCATTCATGGGAATACATGGTGAAAGAAAACCATCATAAGATCCATCCGGAGGAAGAGTTTCACATGAAATTACACTTTTTGGTGTATTAAGTTCTCCAATCTAATTGTAAGAGGTTTTTTTTAAAATTAACAATTAATAAAATTCAAATTCGAAAGAATTATGAACTTTACATGATAACCAAATTGGAATGAACCCAATACGACCGCAAAGGAAACAAAAATTAGATAAAAAGTGAGTTCTGCCATGAAAGATTCTAATATGAAGGGTTTTGAATTAGGAAAACGTTACAATCGACAGCTTAAATCAAAATCACGTGGAGGATTAGACACGAGTGTAAGACAGCATATTTAGAATACAACTTTTTATAGATTTTAAAATAAGCGATTTGGCGGAAACTAGTTATTGTTTATTTGTTAATTAAATACTGTTTTTCTATTTTGATCATTCTTTCAATAATCCGTAAAGATAAAAGAATTTTAATTATTGCATTCTGTTATTGTAAAAAAATCATGCGACAGAATGTTCTTCTTGTTTAAGTAAATAACATGAAATATTCTTTTTTTGGAAATTTAGGTGTACCGATAGAAAACCAATTTTCGTATGTCAATCGAATTATGTTTCAAAATAAGAGGTTTTTTAGCCTTTATAAATTATAATTTGCATAATCACGTGCCTTGTCTACGATTATCTTATTTAGCGATAACGTTTTTTTATGGACAAATCTCAATTTTGAATCGTTCCGCTCGATGGAAGCCCGGATCTTAATTACGTAACAGCCAATCTGATTCGATCCAATATTGGAAAGATCGGTCAATCGTTAACATCCTTATCTGTAGTGACTTTTTTTTTTAATTCTTTTTGACAGATCTTTTTTTCGGATTTTTTCTTTCTCTCTTTTTTTTTTTTAGAATCTTTTGTTTGGTTTGAAAAATAAAGAAATGTTGTCAGAGTCGAACGGTCCATTAAATGCAAGCAGCAAAGCTCCTTCAACAGAGGGACGTGATCCTGCCTATTTTTCGTATTATGCCATGCTCCAGCATCAGGTGGTTTTCAAGAACTTAGTTCCAAACGCGTCCTAAAGAAAAACTCCTGGTGGCTTTGTTAAACAGAGAGTTTTGTTTTAACAAACAGCAAAATATGCTTCAAGATACAGTACGAACTTCCACTTACCGCTCGGCAATACTTTTGAATGGTCCTGTATGCTTTCAAGATAAACTAGCCTTGGACGTTGGTGCTGGTCTGTATGCTATATAATTACAAGATAATTTTTAAATAATGACACGAAATCATTTAATAAATTGTTTAATTATTTTTTTTAGGCTCGGGGATCCTATCATACTTTGCGGTTCAAGCTGGAGCGCGTAAAGTATATGCGGTTGAAGCTTCAAATATGGCCGAGAAAATGCAAAAGGTTGTCGATGCTGCTAATTCTTCAGATTCCGAAGCCTCGGGAAAGAATGCTTTCTTAAAGGATAAGATTGAAGTTGTTCAGGGTATGTAAAAAATTACGTTGCTGGCGAAACAAGTTTCGCCCAATTGGATCTACAAATGGTTTCCAAATTAAGCTTCGGATATTTTGGGCAATAACTGAAGTATCATTGGGCGAGATGTTTCGAATTTATGAAAAAGGGTTCGTCCTAAGTTATTAGTATATAACTCGAGTATTAATTCCTATGAATTTGTTGCAGCCAAGATTGAACAACCAAATCTTCCAATTCCTCAAGTGGACACGATTATTTCTGAACCTATTGGAGTTTTGTTGATTCATGAGAGAATGGTAAGATTATGGTGAGATAATATACTTAAGGATTCTTAACACATGTTCTGGAGTCCTTACTTATATTAATAATATATGCGTATACCGTATATCGTATACATGTATACTAAACTTTTTTTTTTGTAGTTTTTAGTAATTTATATTAACCTTATTTTGTAATAATCTCTTCATATATTAATAATTCAATTGTTTTTTTCGTGTGTAAATGAAAGCTTGAAAGTTATCTTTATGCTCGAGATCATTATTTAAAGCCTGGAGGTACACTTTTTCCTTCAACTGGATCGATATTTCTTGCCCCTTTTACAGATGCTGCTTTGTGGAGTGAGACTATGAGTAAAGCGAGGTTTTGGGAACAACCATCTTTTTACGGTGTAGATTTAACTGCATTATATACCGATGCTAAAGATGAAATGTTTGGTAAGCTTAAGTGATGTTTTTTTTTCTCTTTTATCCTTCACAACATTTGTCTTATTTTTCTCTCTTAAAAAAAAAAAGGAATGCCTGTTGTTGGAGGATTTGATCCACGTACCTTAATTGCACCAGCTAATCCGGGAGGATTTGTTATTGATTTTTATACAATAAAATTAGAAGAATTACAAGATTTTACAGTACCATTTATTTGGCAAGCATCTTATACAGGAATTGTTCATGGTATAGCAGGATGGTTTGATTTACAATTTTCACCACCAGCCACGATACCAAATGGTAATCCAGTTACTATGACAACAAACCCGTCTGCGGAAAGAACACACTGGCAACAAGTAAGATTTTTATTAAAGGAACCGTTAGCAGTTAACGCAGGACAAACTATACAAGGATGGATGAGATGTGTAGTAAATGAAATGAGATCATATACTATAGAAGCTGAAATATTAATAAATGATGGAACCGGTCAATTGTCAGACCCGTTGTCATCCCCATCACCTATACTTAATTTGGATTATAATAGAAGAAGAAATAAATGGAGGTTACATGAACAAACCTACAATTATAATTATTATCCACAAACTGGTAATGATAATATCTTTAGACCTGAATATAACTGTTTATATGAACCAGAACAACCTTTAGATGTTTCTGTGGTTGTTGAAAATAATTTGTTGGATGATGCTACTAATAATCAATTTGTTCTTTAATGGATATTTACTTTAAGGGGGGAGGAAGTTTGGGAAATATGAAATTGGTTAATAGATTATTTTATCGATTTTATGCAAATATTTTCTTGACACAAATATTTTTTATTTATACAGCATTCTTTTTTTTTTCTTATTTATTTCGTATGAAAAAATATAAAGAAGATAAAGAATTAATATAATTATAAAAAGAATTTTAGATAAGATCACACAAAGCATATAAATAAAAGGTTCAAGAAACTTTACAAGATATTCATTTATATTTTATTAAATTTTTTTAAAAAAAAAAATTTTACTTTTTTCAATTTGGGATATTTATTGAACGTAACGATAATAAATACGATATTATTATTATTTAACCGCACAACATATCAACGTCAAAACGAATTTGCTTTACAAGATATTAAATTAAAAATTAATCTTCATCCCAATTAGAACCTTGTTGAGGAGGTTTGGGTCCACCGGCAGGTTTACTCATAATAATCTAATGAATCAAGAATGAATGAATATTTATATATATAAATTGGTACCCTAAAATATATATATTACTTACCTGATCAATTCTTAAAACGGTTAAAGCAGCATCGGTAGCGAATTTGATGGCCCAATGTTTTGTTAATAAACCGTCCAACACAGGATTTGATAATTTAGTAACATCAACAATATCGTAATTTTCAATATCAACACCGATACGAGCACCGGATTTATCTTCAGTGGTTTCACCCTCATCTGCTGGTTCGTGATGAGATGAATAAAGTTTTGATAAAATTTCCGTTGTATCTAGACCAACATCTTCGGCTAGTGTACGTGGAAAAACTTCGAGCGCTTGAGCGAACGCTTTAATTGAATGTTGATTTATACCAGGAGTTTTCTGTAAATTTATCGAAAAAAAAAATGTTGAACATCATTTATTTTAGTTTAAAATGACGTAAATATATTAAGATATCGAATTATACCTCTCCATAAGAAGTTAATTGTTTAGCTAATTCTATCTCAGTAGCACCAGCACCGGGAACAAGACGAGGATCCCTTGTAATAGCCTTGATATTATTAACCCCATCATCAATGGCACGTTCAACGTCATCAAGAGTATTTTGAGTAGCACCACGAATAATGATAGTAGCAGTCTTTGAACTTTCATCCTCTGTTTAAAATTTCAAGACATAACATAGGTCCTTTAACACCTTTTGTCATCGAAAGAAAAAAGAGATTAATCAATTCCGAATTTTTGACACTAACCTTGTCTGAAAACCGTCACTCTATCGCCACCGATTTCAACAGTTTCAACAATATCACAATAACCCATTTCTTCTGCAGTAGGTACACCTAACCTAGCCAAAGCACTAGCACCGACAACTCTACATAATCTTCTTAAATCAAATTTGGATAAAACTTTTACCACCATAATATTAAATCTATTTAAATAATGTAAAGCCAATTCACCGACAGCACTACCTGTTACCACCACTTTAATACCAGCATCCTCAAATTCTTTAAGGATTTTCTCAATTTGTTGTTCTTCACCTTTGGTAAAATTTAACATTTCATTTGCATTATGAATTAATACTGTACCTTTAGTTTCAGTTTGGGTTAAATCTAATGGACATGTGAATATCGCTATCTTTGATTTTAATGATTCATGTACGATACCTTCAGGTTCCCTACCAAATACCATACCCTTTACTACTCTACTTTCATGAATATTACTACCCAAAATTTTAACTATACGTATGCTATCTACATTAAAATTTTGAGGATTTTTTGGCAAAACCAATAACGATGCTTCAATAACTAAATCACTAAGTAAATCTTCATACCCATATTGTTTTGATGCAATAGATGTTTTAATTGATTTTTCTAATTCACACTTTGATCTAAAATCTTTTACACTATCAGCCGATAAACCTATGATATAATTATTCGATTTAACAAGGGATAAACTACGTCGCGTAACAATCTAATTTGAATAACTTTGATTACCTTCTAAAATTTCTAAAGCTTTTACGCTTGCAAGTTCATAACCTTGAACAATTTCGCTTGGATGAAGTCCCATCCTAAGAAGATACTCGGCCCTTTGAAGGAGTTCTCCTGCAAAAATTATAACGAAATTTGTACCATCTCCAACCTGTTAAAATAAATAAATAAATAAATAAATATTTGAAAAAGTTATTTGTCATTTTATACAAGTAGAAACGATAAACACCTCTTGTTCCTGTTGTTGACTTGCCATTACCAATAATTTTGCCGCGGGATGAACGACTTCTAACTCACGAATTATAGTAGCCGCATCATTTGTAACAAAAAGTTTTTCAAGATGATTGATGACCATCTTATTTCGTCCTATTAAATTGTAGTTCGTGATGATACTTTGCATTAATTAAATTGACTTGTAAATCTCAAGGTTGATCTAATTAATTTAATTTTTTATGTACCATTTGGTCCAAAGGAAGTTCTAACAATTTCTGATAGTTCATGGATTGCTTGAATATTTTTCAGCACAGCTTCTTCAATACCTTGGAGGTTCTATTTCGAAACAAATTAAATCAAATATGTTAGAAAAAATCATATGTTTTATGACGCGCAATCATTTTGTTCCCTCAATCAACATCCTCATTAAAACGATAACCAGGATATCTTCTTGCAACTAGTTATTAAACAAGAAACCACTTTTTTCAAGTTTATTCATGTTAATAGAACAACATACCAACAACATACCTTGTAACCTTCTTTAAATAATTGAGGGTAACTACTCTTTGGAACTTTTAAAGCCATCTTTTTTTTTGAAAAAAAAAAAAAACTTTTTGATCTATTTTCTTTTAAAAATTAAAAAAATAAAAACCAAAAAACGCAGGTGATGATGTAATTCGATCATCCAATAAAAAATAAGTGAAATTAACATCCCATTAATTCTTCCCTAATCTCTAATGATGTATTAGAATTGAAGCAATTTAAGGTAATTTTAATCTTTTTGTCAAAACTACTTAACATTTTTGTGATGAATAAATGAGAAAATATGTCAGGTATTATTTGATTTCTTATATTATTCTCAATCAAAAACCTTTTCATAATTGATTCGCTAGCTATCCCTAATTTATTTTCCAAACGTATTTCTTTATTTCAAGTAAAAGGAGAATCACACAAAATCTTACTCTACTAACAGAATATTATCCAAATCATCAGTTGGTATTACTAATGGATTTTTTAATAATCAAATCTCCTTTTCTAGGAAAATTATTCTTCAAGTTCTTTTTTTGCTAAATCTTTTCAAGACATTTCGCCATTAGTAGAATGTCCTTTATTTTTTGATTTTTAGTTCTACTTTGATAGCCAATAATTATTTTTTTCTTCATAATTAATCACTAAATTCTCTTTTAGAAATTAGATTTTATAAGTTTCTTGGAAGTAAACTTCATATTTTGTACTGTCATATATATCTTTAATTTTATGTTTATACTTTATGTTAGTGTATAATTTATTCAAGATAAAAAAAACTGAATATATTGATAACAAATATAGAAGGTAAATTATTCAATTATTAATTTTCTTATTATCTTGCTCGAGAAAAAGTTCGTATTAATTTAAAAAAGCTTTTAAAAATTGCGTTAATGAAGTATTATGACTATTTCTAAGCGTTCTGTAGGAATAACCTCTCTAATTATTTTAGTAGTTTTTCTGTTACCAACTATCGCTATTATTAAGCCAAGCTTGTTTGATGAAATAGAAGTAGGTCCAGTAACTCTGCGTGGTGAAAAATCAATTAGCATTGGAAGTGGAGTATTTCTAAGTATTCTTCTCATTGTCGCTCTCTTTTTCGCTATTAAGCACAGATCTAGAATTAATGATCTTTACTTAAGTTTACTTAAATTTTGTGCTAATAAACAAAAAGCTAAATACTTTGCAAAATTAATAAATTAGTTAACTATACTCTTTATACCTTAGATACTAGTAAAAATAATTCGGTATAAATTATAATAAATTAATGGTATATGGTATAAAACGGTATAAGTCTATCAAATATACTGTATAAACAATAGAAGAGAATATGCTCGATTATCAATATCCATAGTAAAGCTAAACTTAATAAAGACAATATTAGTCAATTATTAATTTAACATAAAATTAATAAGTATAAAAAAAATAAAGGGAAAGAACAGAATTTTACTGAAGTACAAACTGAAATTACAAACTTACGAAAAGAACTAAACAAATATAAGATGTAAAATTACAATTATAAAAATTTTTTCATCAGACAATCTTTTTAGAATTTATTTACTTTTATCTATATTAATTATAATACAATATTATAAAATTACTCATGAAAAAAAACTTACTATTACAATTTTTAAGAAACTTTATGACTTTTATTAATGATAAAGTGATTCAATTAGGATGTAAACATATAAATTTTAAAAAATTTTATAATAAAAATTTTCAAACTTAATTTTAAAATTAAATTATTTAAGTTGATATAATATATATTTTTATATAATATTAATATTACTAAAATTAATATTTATCATTTTATAAAAAAATTAATACTTTTTTTAATTTTGCAAACAAATTGCTTGCTAAATAGTTTAAGGGATAAAAATAGACATTTTTTTTTATAGCAAAATAATATAATATCTGATTCTTTAACCATTTTTATTAGAAAAACTTTAATAGTTTATTAAAATAAGAAAAAATTTGTTAATTAAAACAAATTAAGTATATAAAACTGACTTAATAAAAAACTATTAGAATAAATCAAAAAGTAAAAGTACTATATATAAACGTTTCTAGCAAAATTAAGTCATAAAATAAGTATAGTAAATTATATGATCTATAATGTGATTTTACTAAAAACATTTTCATATATTGATTTATCTAAAAAAAATAAAAAAAATATCAATATTATAGCAGTATAGTGAACTCTTGATATAACGAATTCTAGGATCTGGATATCAACTTCATTATAAGCTTATAATGAATTTTTTAAAGAATTTAATTGGCTAGTTCACTATAGTAAAGGTAATTTTAATATATTTGATTTAAAAATTCGCTATATCAAGGGTTCGCTATATCAAGGTTTGACTGTATTATCCAAATAAAAATAAGATACAACCAATTACGTGATTAGGAACATAATACAAAAAGCATGATTAAATAAAGATTTATTGTCAAAGAAATTGCAACAAGTGATCTTATAATAGAAATGCAATCATAAATTGTAATATTAATCAATGAAATTGATATTACATGATACAATATATTACATTTAAAAATTAGAAGTAAATGTAATAATTATGAAAAAATATTAAATTATAGTTAAGATATTAGCAATTCTTATATAGTCATGATATATAGTGAATTCTTAATATAACAAATCCTAGGATTTTGAATCTCAAGTTTATTATAAGTTTATAACAAATTTTTAAAAGAATTTAATTAGCTGATTCACTATAGTAATGTATATTTAATATATTTGATCTAAAAAATTTTTGTGAAAAAATTTGTTTTTTAAAAGTTATTTTATTTATTATTTATTTACAAAAAAATAAAACATTTATTTGTAGATATTAAAAATATAATAATAAAGCACTAGAGAGCATTCTTATAAGAATGCTCTTTATTTACGCTATAATGTTATCTAGTTATGAGTATAATGCTACCTAGTTAACATTTTTGATGCTTTATGATCTTTTTATTACATTGTAGCTATCCACTTGTTTTCATTGTTCTGTAGTCTTTTTATTGCCTTGTGGCTATCTGATTGGTATTGACCTCCTACGTCTGAATGGATGTCAAATTTTATTTTAGAAGTTGCTAGCCTTCCGTAAGTATTTAGATATCTGGTTTTATGCCTTCTACTTGAGTGGCCTATAAGGTTGCTAGACAAAATCAAGAGTTTAGACAAACGTCTAAATGGTAAAAGTAAAACTTGGTTAAATTATATTAAAACCTTATTAAAAAA